TATCTCATTGTCATTGATGATTTATGGGATATTGGTGCCTGGGTCAATCTTAAAATGTATTTCCCCAATGACAACAATGGAAGTAGAGTTATGTTTACTAGTCGCCTCAAAGAGGTGGCTATGCATGCCTCACCTGATTGCCATCATCATTGTCTGCGTCCTCTCACTGAAGAAGAGAGTTGGGAGTTGTTACAACGGAAGGTGTTTCAAAATGGACGTTGCCCTCCAGAACTGATTGAAATTGGGAAGCAAATAACGAAAAGATGTGGAGGGCTTCCACTTGCAATTGTTGTAATTGCAGGACTTCTTGCAAAGAACATCAAGACACAAAAGTCGTGGAAAAAAGTTGCCCAAAGTGTAAGCTCATACATTGTTAGTGATCCAAACCAGTACTTGGACACACTAGCACTGAGTTACAACCACTTGCCTCGCCACTTGAAACCATGCTTTCTCTATTTAGGAGCATTTCCAGAAGATCAAGAAATCTCGGTGCAGAAATTAATTTGGTTATGGATAGCTGAGGGGTTCATACAAAAAATTGAGCAGAAAAGCTTGGAGGAAGTAGCGGAGGGTTACTTAATGGATCTAATTCAAAGAAGTCTGGTAATTGTTGCTCAAAAAAGGTTTGATGGTCGAATTAAAGCATGTCGTATGCATGATTTGTTGCGTGATTTATGCTTGAAGAAAGCCAGAGAAATTAATTTCCTAAAGTGGATTCACAATTATGAAGATTCTTATCCTCCTCCTTCAAGTAATTACAAAGCAAACAACCAATGTCACCTGTGTATCGATTTTGACTTCTTGGAAAAATGTGATCATGTTCTCTTAGAGTCTTATTCCCCAGTAGTTGTTCAATCATTATTGTGCTTCAGAATTAAGTCTGGGAGAGAAATTAGTTACGGTGACAGTCCGTTTGATGATGTGTTCTCGTTTATTTGTTGCAACTTCAAACTTCTTAGAGTGTTGAACATATGGTACATCAATGCCTTCATTTCAAGAGAATTAACACAACTAGTTTATTTGAGGTATTTGGCAATTAATTTGAAAAGTTCTTGTGGATTACCGCCATCAATATCCAATCTCTCAAACCTAGAAACACTTATTATTTCTACACAACGGGGTGAGGTTATTCTGCCATGTAATGTTTGGAAGATTCCAAAGTTGAGGCATCTTTATGCTAAAGGAGGAGCAAAAGTTGATGTGTCTTTATGTTCTAAAGAAGCAGCAGTGGATCACAGCTATCCCCATGTATTAAAAGACCTACGAACCATCACAGACTTAGATCCATGTGGATCTGTTCAGGATTTTTTGGCAAGAACTCCTTATCTTACAAAGCTGGGAATTTGTGTACATCTTTTGTCTGATTCGGGGAATTTGATGTTTCCTAATCTAGAATTTTTAAGACACCTTGAGACTTTGAAGCTAGACATCGATTTTTTTCCCAGACACCCAATTGCTCTCGGAGAGGTCAAGTTTCCTGCAAATATTAAAAGGCTAACCTTGAAATATACAGGGATAGAGTGGGAGGAGATATCAGTCCTTGGGATGATGTTACCCAACCTTGAGCTTCTCAAATTAGAAAATGATGCTGCCTGGGGACAGCAATGGGAAACAACTGATGGTGGGTTTCCTCGACTCAAATTCTTGAAACTGAAGGAACTTGATGTTGAGCGATGGATCACCTGCTCTGGTCCCTTTCCAAGCCTTCAACACTTATCGTTGGAACGGTGTCAATATCTCAGGGAAATACCATCTAGTTTGGGGGATATACTCACTCTGCAGCTGATTGAGGTAAACTTTTGTCATTTCTCTGTTGAGGAATCTGTCAGGCAAATTAAGGAAGAGCAAGAGAGCATTGGAAATAATTGGTTGAAAGTGCTGATTAGGGAACAACCGTGGACCTTTTAGTCAGTGTAATGATACAACTTCTAAAGGTATGTTCTTTTTTATATTTATGTTTAATTTTTTCTTCTCATTTTGGATTCGACTCTACATAAAATAAAAGTAATCTACATTGTGTATATATAAACTGACATAAAACTCTATGCACGGTCTTAAATAAATAATTAAAATTTTATCTTAAAAATTAAAGTAATAATTTTAAAATTTTAAAGAAAAAATAGTTGAAATTATGTGAATAAGTTGTTTTCATTTAAATTACACTAAAATTATTTTTTAATTATGTTATCATTAATATTTTATTTCAAGCGTTAACTAATACATATGTATGTCATTACATTGATCAGTAACATTTTAGATCAGAAAAAATTAAATAAATTATAAAACTTACATTTAGCATAAAAGATAAATATATGTATATATTAGATTTTCTCGAAAGACATAACAACTAAAATTTCTTTACAATTACATAATAAAATTCATTTAAAATCAAAAACAAATTAGAGAATGAAATAATTTTTATGTAGAGAGAGTAGCATTGACCCATTTCCCAGGGCCATCCTCTCTGCATCAAGCTCCACCTCTAATCATTTTATTCTTGTGTTAACCACTTTCAGATTCGGTTTCTAGTTTCCTTTCCTAGCCACACTTTTTTATTCCTCTTGCCCCAAACTATCCCTACAATTTACAACCTTACAATCAATCTCTAATTAAACTTTATTAGAATCTACACCGATCATATTCTATAATATCTATCCTCATTAACTAAACTAAACCCTTGTAAATAAGACTATCAAATGGTTAACCTTTATGAAACGGTTAGACATGTGACGCAAAGTTTAAATTAGATCAACTATTAAAAATGAGGGAAAATCTCAAATCAATTAGAAAATAGATTTAAAAAAATCTTATTTTCATGAGGTGCAAGTCTGTCTGTTGTTTCTTCATGCATATACCCATATAATTTTTTTTTTAATAAAACGTTATTTATAAATAGATTTGTATGATATTTTCTTACATGTATTTATTAACACAAACCCAATTATATTGTGTCTAAAAAAGATAAGAAAATTTTATAAGAAACATATTTGTGTACAAAGGAAAAAGTTAGAGAGCCCAAAATGAAATATGTGTGATGTGAATCAAACTCAGAATGGATCCAGTCAAACAATTTTAGAGTAGCTTTTTAAAACTCCTTAATATTAATATGGTTTTAACAAGAGGAACTAATGATGATATTGTTAGAAATGGTTTGAAAATCTGGGTAAAACCAGAATTTTTTACTAAGTTTAGTCTAATATTTAGGTGAGAATCGTGCGTCGATTTTCACGGGTTCAAGTGGTAATGTGTTCTATACCGCGTTGTGATTCACGTGATATATTTGGTTGCGTAAAACCATTATCGAGTGAATAGGAAATTGAAGCCAAAGTGTGCTCCATGAAAATAGAGTTTTTGTGGAAATTCCTTAAGGTGTGTAAATGGTTTGCCCCACTGTCACGATTCAAACCCGCCCCTATGGGTTTAGCGCCGTAATCGGCCAATAATCCGTGATTACCAAAGGCCTGCTTAATAGTAATAACAATAATACAGAGTACAGGGGCTGGCGAAAGCCAAAACAGTAATCAAAGATGTCCAATGAGCTGTGACAGTCTGTATACAAAAAGACTTTTCATACATATATACATCCATAAAATAAAAGACAATATGCACATACATCACATACAATCATTTTGTCATGACCCCATTCCGCCCCTAGTAGAATGGTGCCATGATGGCCAGTAATTCACAATTACCCAAGGCCAACTTGCAAGGTTTCACACACAATAGAGTATACATATGGGGCTTACAAGTGCGGAAGCAATAAATTTAAAGCTAAGTAGTCCATAAAAGCTGTGCATAAGTCAAATGGAATGGAATACATCATTATATGGCTTTACAATCTTGAATACAAACAAAAGGAAAGTACAAAAATACATCTTGACCAAAAGGCTTCTCAAGCCGTCAAATGCAAAATACAAGGGAATACAACCAAGAAGTATGATCTTCAAGATGCTACAAAAATGCTAAATCCAAAACAAATTGCAAGCACGTCTAGGCGTCACCGCCGTCTTGTTCGTCACCTACATATATATAGAGAGGGGTGAGCTTGGATACTCAGTGAATGGTATAAATAATAAAGGAGTTTACATGAATGATATCCAAAATCTTTATCAAATCAAGGCACATCACATCTTGTACAAAATCCAAGGGCAAATCAAGTTTATCTAACAAATCTTTCAAGTCTCAACAATTAAAGTCTTTCAAGGCTTTCAAGTTCCAAGGGATCGCATTAACAAAGGTTGTGCTACAAATGCTTATAGTCCCCTAGCAAGTACGGACTTCCAAAGATTGTGCTACAAATGCTTATAGTCCTTTAGCACGTACGGACTTTCAAAGATTGTACTACAAATGCTTATAGTCCCCTAGCACGTACGGACTTTCAAAGATTGTCAAAACCCAAGCTAATACTTGATACACAAAATAGGGATAGTCATTCATGCTTAACAAATACTTTTCCAAAATAAGCAAGGCAAAACTTTATCAAAACTTAATAACATAGCTTTATTAAAAATACCACTCACATAGTTCTTCAACGTCGGGGTCAAGTGAGAGTCCAAGTCCTACAAACACATGAAAAAGTCTATTGAATGCACTTTCAAACAAGCTTTACATGAATGCAAATGATCTCGGCATTCCTTCAAAACTAAGTCGACCCGAAACAAAACACTGTTTCTCATCTCGGTAAAACTTGCTGGGCACCAACCAAGTCTTGGCCGAGGCTCCACACCTCTTTGCCGAGGTGTGGTTCCGAGGGCCACATTCAAGGAAATGAAGTCGGGAAAGTCTGGGTTTCCCTCTGTTGAAGAACATGAAGAACATGAAAAATATGAATGCTCAATCACGTGTTATTACAAAATCTGAGATTTCATGCTATGAGTTCGAAAACATGGACCTGGGTACCCAGACTTGAAGATCCTTCGAAAACAAACACAAAAAACATGGTTCTCAATACAAGCTTTCGGATCAAAACAAGACTTTCGTCCAAGAACACATGGATAACACTTTCTCTTTCTAAAACCAAACTTTAAATCAATGCATGGCATGCAGAACAGATTCGATCATGCAATGCAGCTAGATGAATGATGAGAACAACAAGAGTAGATCAAGATTCTAACCTCAAAGTACAAATCAAACGATTTGAATTCTAAGGATCAAGCTTGGAAATCTATTTCTCCCTCAAGAACTTCTTCCTCTTCTCCCTAGAGCTTCTCTCTCTAAAAGACAAGATATGATACAAAAATGACAAGTTTCTAGCTCTGCCGGCTGACTTAACCCTCTGCAGGGGTACGTGGCAACGGTTGGTTGGTTCTCCTCAAAAAGTGACTGAGTGAAAAGACAAGACCATGACAAAGTGTGTTCTACAAGCAAGATGGCATAGGCACTCCGGCAGGTAATGATCTCGGCCAATAACAAGGCATCGGCAAGCAAGGGAACAATGATCTCGGCTAGGAAGGACAACACTTGACTAAGCTATGCCACACCTTGGCCTAGATGTGCCACACCTCGGTCTAGGTCATACCACTCTAGGACAAGATCACTTAGGTGCAAAGGTAACATCTCGGCCCAGATAATACACATCTCGGCCTTGGTGATGAACACCTCGGCCTAGATAATGACATCTCGACTAACATGCCAGGGCGAAGGTGGAGGTCAAACAAAGTGGTTCCAAGTTAATTCTAAACTGAAGACGATCTCGGCTAGACTCACACCAAGCAAGGTACAAAGCATGCGAGAAACACTTAAGCAAACAAATCAAGGTCTGGCAAAAATGCAACATATCAAGACAAGATCATGTAATATATGCAAGCATGACTAGAGTAGAGTGATGGTTGTTACACATTTACAGGCATTCAGGTTATGGACCAAATCCCTACCATAATAGTACAGTAACAGTCTATACATTCTATACAAAACAGAGACAGAAAAGGGGAAATCTAAAACACCCCGAAGCAACCTTAGCTTGGCAGCGCTTAGAACCTCGCAGTGAGGCACGTTGGTTGGCTTGACAAAAAGAGAGTTTAAACCCCACGCCCCTAGCTCCGATCTAGTGCCTGGACACCTACATATATATATAAACAGTGAGCTAAAACCCAGTGAATAACATATGCGTAAAGGGATTAAGAATGAATATCCTTTCAGTATTTAAAATAGTCATTTGAACAGTATATCAGTTATTTGATCATAGCAGTCATAAGTGGTACATCCAATAGCAAACAGTACAGTAGGTCTTAACAGACCGAGCAGTCAGTTGATGGCCATCATATCAGTAAATAGTAGTGGTTCTAAACATGGAAACCGACAGAGATCTTTGTGACAGTAGCAGTACAGTACAGTAACAGTAAATTGCTATGGATGCCACGAATACAGTTCGCAATTAGGACAAGCATTCATTCAGTAAGAAATATCATTTCAGAAAGCAGTACAGTCATTCGTTCAGAAAATAATCTCAATTGAACATATCTTTACAACATTGTTACTTACAGAGTTCTAGGCTACAGATAGGCTAGTGAGTGTCCTCGGATACCAAACCTACACAGTTACAGGATGAACACACACTAAGTTGCACGTTTGGAAAATAATAACTCCGTCCCTATCTTGACTCGGCGTGGTTCTATAGCATTATCCTCATTAAGATACCTTAAACTAGGCCTAGGAATGCCTATGATGGAATGAGGATGCAAAGATGCACTTTTAAACACTTTTCAAAATTTTTAAAAAATAGGGTCTCGCTTGAGCGTGGCTTTCTACGCTCGAGCGGACATGCAGACAAAAGAGCTTTGCTCGAGCGTAACTTTCCTTGCTCGAGCGGACTGCAAAAGTACTAGATGTATGAAATTCACGCTCGAAGGGCGCTCGACCCTCGCTCGAGCGTGCATTCCCTCGCTCGAGCGGACTGTAAACTCATGCAA